TATATATTTCTTTAGACAGATAGATTAGGTATGATAAAGCATACGATGACGCGTCCTTCATGCAAAGAAAAGGAAAGCTTGTGAAAATATCTGGCTGAGCCTAGCTTCGTCACACTGAGCAGCACCAGCACTGCACAGTGCTTGGTGAATCACGTCATCTGGGAATGCCTCCGTGACAGGCAGCCGGATGTTTCACCGTGTGCCTGTGCCCAAGAAGTCAAACCAGACGTTTAGCCTGCATCTGCATGTAGGAGGCATGTCGTCTTTGCAAGCTCAAGCTGCGTATGAACAGAGACAGAGTTGGCTGCACGAGGATTCTCTTGAACTTGAGCCCTAGTCCCCAAGACGGCTGGCTTAGCAGGCAGCTGATAGCCTGATACTACGGGCGTGATTGGTTGTTTTGGTGAGGGAAAGCCTGGATAGAGAGCCGGTCCAGGATGATGAGATGCATGCTCAAACCGTGTACTCAGTCGTATTTGGTTGTTTTTATTGTTGGTCCAGTATAAGATGAGATCTTGTTTGGTTGTATGTATGGATAGGAGTTTTTGAGTGTATGACACATGGGTCCTGCACCATGCACGAATCAAGCCATCCTGTATGGAGAGGGAAGTGGAAATTGAGAATTTGAAGTAAATGCGGGATGAAGGAAGACAGATGAATGAAAGAATACATGCGAAAGGTGCGAGAAAAACAACCAAACACACCGCATGAATAAAATCAGACATCAAAACAAAACAATACGGGGACGGTCCCATTCAGCCTACCAATCACGCTCTACGTGTACGCGTCGGGCCATCAAGTCTTACAAAGCAGTGCCGCAATCGCATGCCCATGACTGCCCTCAAACTGCATGCTGCGTCTGCACTGCAGTAGTACAGCAGTAGTGCAGTGAGCTATCGTCAGTCTGGTTCTGCTCTGACGTACCCTCCCCCTCCCCGAATCACTCACGGTCACGGAGACACAGAGCATTGGCACCAGAGCTGCAACTGCCGGCCGGCGATGGCCGGTCACGGTCACGGTCACGGAGGTGGTGACCCTCACCCCGCAGTTAAAGGGCCGGTACATTGTCATCCCGACAGGCCGCAGCAGAGCAGGCGTATCCCTCAGCAGATTCAAGCCATCGCCCAAGGGCATGTTTGGATGGAAGGAATTACAAAGGAATTTTGAGGAATTGTATTCCTGTGGAAAGTTTTTGAAGATTGCTGTTTGGATTGAAGGAAAGATACGTCTCTTTCCAAAGGAAAGGATTCCTATGCTGTACAAAACGCAGGAAAAAAAACATCCAGTCGAACTCAAGGGAAATCTTATCTCTTGCTTGGTCGCTTGGTCGTCACAGCAAATTAAAATACGTACAGGGAGGAGAACGCTTAGGCAAATATATGAATTAAAAAAGAACTATGCCAAATGATTAGTGAAAAGCACCTAAAATCCCCAGATGAATTAAATATGTTTATTTGTTAATTAAAATTCAACATTGCAATGACAAATATTTGAATAATAAAACATGTATTTATGTCTTTTAATCACACCTCGTGTTTTTGAGAATCATGTGTTATAATTCCTACGTTGCAAAACACATCTATCTATATTTTACTGTGTTTTTTCATTCCTTGGTCCCATAACACCTGTACCCGTTCCTGCAAACAGGCCCCAAAAAGTACGGGGAGGACCACCGTGCTCAGCCGCCGCCCACCGGTCGCACCAGTACAATGTACACTGGAGAGCACAGGAGCATGCCTCTCTGCTCTACAGCCATTAGCACCATGGCAGGCAACACGAGGTAAAAGGCAAGTGTGGCATCCTTTACTGCAGTTCGAAAGAAAAGCAGCTTAACAGCAACTCCAAGAGAGAGACTGCTATCTAATTAGAAATAAAAACTTTAGTGACAAAATTAACCTCCAACAAGCATTTAAATTGGATTTTCAAAAATATAGTCATCATCTATTCCGGATTTTCTCATTGGCCAAAAGATGAAGGACAACGATGGCTCTCCTCTCTAAAGTGTGCATAAGGTATAGAAAAGCTGCCGGGTACAAAGATATAGAAAGTGATTTTACTAAAAAAAACTCTCTAAATGATTATTTATTTAAAGAGTAAATTTTAGCATCACCATCAGTCATGGGAATTTGGTGGTAAATATTTGTTAGCAAGGCAACACCATAAAAGGATTTTTTTTCAGTATTGAAATCTGTGAGTGGAATCAGAATAGAGCAGCGCAAACCTGAGCAAACAGGACCATGTTGAAGAAAACAGAGATAATGGGAAGCAACGGTACCCCAGGACATGAAAAGCCAGGTTGATCCACATAGACCTGGACAGGAAAGTTTTGAGAAAACAATGTATCAGCAAGTTGAGGCTGAGTTTAAGTGCGTCTAAATATTTAGAGTAGGGGCCTGTTTAGTTCCCCTCCAAAACGCCAAATTTTTCAAGATTTTCCGTCACATCGAATCTTTAGATGCATGCATGAAACATTAAATATAAATAAAAAATAAAACTAATTACACAGTTTAGACGAAATCCACGAGACGAATCTTTTAAGCCTAATTAGACTATGATTGGACACTAATTGCTAAATAACAACGAAAATACTACAGTGTCATTTTGCCAAAATTTTCGGCAACTAAACTGGGCTAGCTTGACATCTTTATCCATGGTTTCAAACAGCAAAGCAAATAGCGTGATTTATGCAACTTGAAGCGGGGAGAGCGAAGCGGTAGCCAGTAGGCATGATGATGCCCCTGCCCCCCTCGCCTCGTCCCGTGCCTTCGGTGTCAGACAGCCAGTCGTCGATATCACTGGAGCTGTGGTGCAGGGGCAACCGGTCAGAGCCGGAGGCAGTGCAACCGTAGTCACGTCCGGCCGAGCAGCAATGAGTGACGTGCCGTTCGCCGCGGCAGCAGCGCTGACCGCCGCACGGACGTGGATCGATGGCGATTGAGTTGCCAGATCGTACTATGACGTGCTAGCAGCTAGGAGTAGCTAGCATAGCCTACAATACGTTGCTACTACTACGTGATCGAGATGGATTCGAAACGATTCGCTCGCTTCCCCTTCTCCTTCCTCAGCTTGCTCCGTGAGTCCGTGGGACGTAGCGCCGCACCGGTCGACGAGGCGAAGTCCTCGGTGGATGGAGACATGCAGTACTAGCGCACGCTTTGAATACATGCTCGGCGCCAGAATACATGGCGCCGAGCTCGGCTCCAAGATCTGCGGCGCCGAGCTCGGCGCCATGTATTCTGCCGTCGAGGTACCGGCCACGTCAACGCCACCTAGGATTTCCTGCAGTGCACGGCCATACACCTCGACGTCAAGATCTGTGACGCCGAGACATGTTACCTCGGCGCCAGGACTTATGGCGTCGACCTCCAGGATCCAAAGATGAGTTTAAGTCTCTTATGAGGCCAAACGTAAGTTTTCTTCGGAAAAGGGGTCAAATAGTAAAAAATACGGCCATTAGCAGCTGTGGCCAGGGCTTTTACATTTTTACCATTATAAAGATTGGCACTCATCCGAATATTACTCTTAGGATGACACTTACAACTTTATCGGATGTGAGAAGTTTTAGTTATAAATTTACCACTTTTTGCGCATGTGGCATGCCACTTGAGCTCGACCTGCTTGGCACCTAGTCAAGATGAGCACGTGAAAATACCGTTGCTACCCCTGCCTTGCTCCTCTCTCTCCATCCCCGACAGCTAGGTCCCGCGGCACCTGTCACTATCAGGTGGGCCCCACTAGTCAGCTTCGTCTCCTTTTTGCTCATGGCTCTTTCTTCCTCCCATCTCCTTCACTCCTCAGGCCAAGCCCCGCCGCCTCCATGGCCGAGCTCGCCGCCTCCTCCATGGCCACCATGGGATCGAAGCTTCTTGCTGCCCGCCCTTGTTGGACGTCGTGGGCATGAGCTACTGCCACGCCGCCACGCACGAAGTTCTTTCAGTAGCACCGCCCGCGTCTTTGGCCTCCATGGTCTCGGGCTCTGGCTGAGTCGGCCGGAGAGCAAGGCAAGCGCCTGCAGGGGGAGAGCCCAGTGGCCGGGATCAGGCATGGAGCTAGGCGGTAGTTTCCGTTCGTTTTCCTTTTTTCGGTCAACTTTCCGGCGAGGTGCCTCCATGGACAACCGAGATGCTCCTTCGTTTTGGCCGATCTCTAGAGCAAGCGCTAGCCCCGCTCTCTCGGTGGTCGCGCCGGGTCTCAGTAGCACGACGTCGCCATTGCATCCGACCGAGGCATCCGGTCCTCCCGCTCGAGCCTCTGCGGGAGCTCTATAGCCCGTCGCCGGCCGCTTGGGCTCGCCCACGAGCCGCTTGGGGCCTGCAGACAGCGTGGTGCGTGCCACCACTCGGCCGGCTGAGACACCTGGTGAGGCCGCCAAGCCAAGCCCGGACGGTCGCGGCCCTTCTCTCAATGGGCTTGGTCATGGAGGAGGACACGGATGCCACGAAATGAAAGACGAAGGCGACTAGTGGGGCCCACTGGCGGTGGCAGTCTTGCGTGGGACCCAGTTTGTCGAGGATGGAGAGAGAGGAGCAAGGCAGGGGTAGCAACGACATTTCACGTGCTCATGCTGACTAGGCACCAGCGTGTCAAGCTCGCGTGGCATGCCACATACGCAAAAATGGTAAATTTATAACTAAAACTTCTCACATCTGGTAAGCTGTAAGTGTCATCCTAAGAGTGATATTCAGATAAGTGTCGATCTTTATAATGGTAAAAATGTAAAAGCCCCGTTGTGGCCTGTGGGCCTGTAGGTCTGTGCGGCTGCAGGCTGCCGAACGCCGATCTCCGCCGCCGATGCCGAGCAGCCGCAGCCCCCTGCCACCGTGAGCGCCCTGGCCGCCGCCCCCGGCGCCACCCCTCTCCCCTCCGAGCGCGAGGCTCGCCGTCCATGGAGTCAGGTGCCCGTGCGCCAGGTACCGCCGCGTGAGGCACCCCGGTAACATGAGAATCTCTGCACCTGCGACCCATCGTCGGCGGCGCGCGATCAAAGCAAGCAGGCAAGCATGCGCCTGTACATCCCCAAAGCTACCTTCGCCTTCTGCCACGGCCTCCTCGCCTCCGGCCTCCTCCCCTCCGCCGCGTCCCCAGCCGCACCGCTCCTCTCCGTCCAGGCCCTCCTCGTCACCGCCGGCCTGCTCCCGCGCCACCCGGACCTCGCCCTGCTGGCGCTCAACTCGCTCCTCCACGCGCTCTCCCGCCGCGCCGCGTGCCCCGCCCACCCGCGCCTCGCGCTCCGCCTCCTCCGCCACATGCTCTCCCCCGCCACGCCCCCGGCGCTCCCCGCCCCGGACCACCTCTCCTTCCCCTTCGCGCTCTCCGCCGCCGCCGCGCTCGACGCCGCCCCGGACCCGTCCTCCTCCGCCGGGACCGGACCGGGACCGCAGCTCCACGCGGTGCTCGTCAGGAACGCGCTGTTCCCGGCCGACCACTACGTCACGACCGCGCTGCTGCAGCTCTACTCACCCCACCCGGACCTCGCGCGGAGGGTGTTCGACGAGCTGCCACGTCGTGAGGCGATCCACTACGACCTGCTCATCGGCTCGTACGCGCGCGCGCGGGGGCGCCCGCCGAGGGGCTGGCGGTGTTCCGAGCCATGTTCGACGACGGCAACGACGGGGTGGCCCCGGATGCGGTCGTGCTGACCACGGCCGTGGCGGCGTGCGCGCAGGCGGGGCGCTGGACCACGGCGCGTGGGTGCACCGCTACGTGGAGCGGACCTCGCCGGGGCTCCTCGCCGACGCCTTCCTCGGGTCCGCGCTCGTCGGCATGTACGCCAAGTGCGGGTGCCTGGACGACGCCGTGCGGGTGTTCGACGGCATGCCCGAGCGGAACGCCTACGTGTGGGGCACCATGGTGGGCGCGCTGGCGGTGCACGGGATGGCGGCGGAGGCCGTCGCGTGCCTGGAGAGGATGGCGCGGGAGGACGGGGTGCGGCCCGACGGCGTCGCCGTGCTCGGTGCGCTGTCCGCGTGCGCGCACGCCGGGAACGTCGAGGAAGGGCTGCGCCTGCTCAGGGAGATGCGGCCCCGCTACGGCGTCGTGCCCGGGCACGAGCACTACAGCTGCGCGGTCGACATGCTCTGCCGGGTCGGGCGGCTCGAGGACGCGGTGGGGCTCGTCGAGACCATGCCGATGGCCCCGCTCGCGTCCGTGTGGGGCTCCGTGCTCGCTGGCTGCCGGAGCTACGGCAACGTTGAGCTGGCGGAGGTCGCGGTGCGCGAGCTCGAGAAGCTTGGTGGCACTGCCGACGAGGGCGTGTACGTGCAGCTGTCCAACATCTACCTCGATGCCAACCGGAAGGATGACGCTCGTAGGGTGCGGAAGCTGATCGGCAGCCGGGGGATCAAGAAGGTCCCCGCGTATAGCGCCGTGGAGGTGGACGGCGAGGTGAGCTCGTTCGTTGCCGATGACCAAGCGCACCCCCGGCGTTTCGAGATTTGGGAGGTGCTCCGGCTGCTAGCTGACCAGATGGCGCAGAAACCAAAGGAAGAAGAATTTATTCAATTTGTTTGCATGCTCACAAGACTGTAACGGAGAGAGGTGCTGATACTTACTTTACATATGAGCCATTTATATTTAAGAAACTAGGACATTTCAATGTCATTTACCCGTGCGTCGGCGGGGATACGGCGGCGGTTCTGGCGTGCGTGACGGCCACGCTTCTCGTGCCGCCGCCCCTGCAACATGGTGCCATGGCATTGTGTCTTGTGGTTTGACATGGGGTGTACCGACAGATTCTGCACGGAGAAGTCTGTTGTTCCTCTCCACCACCTCTCCCTGATCCACGCCAACTCACTGTAACAGGCAATCTTCACCGAGCCCATCGCAATGGTGAAGGAGGAAGATAAGTGCCCAGCTACGAGGCTCAGGTCCAGGATAAGCATTGTGAGGGCATTTGAGCACTGTAGCATAGACACATCAGTTGAAACCACGGCAACGAGGTCGATGGCCGGAAATGCAGCTGGCCTGTTCAGATATATTCAATTTGTGACCAATCAGATGCCTATTTGGGTTTAAGTTTGCTTCTTCCCTACCATCTTCTGCCATCAGCTGGCAGCAGGCCAGCAGCAATTGTTATTAGAATTTTATTTCTGTAGTTCAAGGCCTGCGTTCGTTTTCTTTGAAAAAATAAGGTGAAACACCGTTCCGCCTAATTTGTTGTGAGAGAAAAACACTGTAGGTTGAAAAAACAATTTTGAAAAGTACGGATTATAAGACAAGCGAACGGGGCCCAAGTTTTGCACGCTGAATGAGCATTTTGCCCATCTGGAGTTTGCTAGAATGATGATCGAGAAGATTAGATTGGAAGACTTTCTGGAATGGTTAGGGTGTAATTGTGTAAAAGAATCAGATTCAGGCGTTGTCCTCTCCACATCTCCCTGTTCTACGCCAATTCGCTGTTACAGACAGTCTTTGAAGAGCCGATCGCAATGGTGAAGGAGGAATCAACCCTTGCTTCATCTCCATCTGTTGGCACAGATAAGTGCCGAGCTACGATGCTCAGGTCCCGGATAAGCATTGTGAGGGCATCTGAGCACCGTAGCATAGACATATTGGTTGAAACCACGGCAATCAGCTCAGACGGCCGGAAACGCAGCTGGCCTGTTGAGATATTCAATTTGTGACCCAATCAGATGCCTATTTGGGTTTAAGTTTGCCTCTTCCCTACCATCTTCTGCCATCAGCAGCAATTGTTATTAGAATTTGTTTCCGTCGTTCAAGTTTTGCACACTGAATGAGTACTTTGCCCATCTGGAGTTTGCTAGAATGATGATCGTGAGGATTGGATTGAAAGACTTTCTGGAACGGTTGGGGCATAATAATAATTGTCTAAAAGAATCAGATGGAATGGTTATGGTGTAATTGTGTAAAAGAGTCAGATTCAGACTGGTTTGGCCCAAGTTCTGTCAGAATGATGTTGACGCCTTGACGGGGATGAAGGCAAACATAATGTATTTGTGTTAGTGATCAAGCATGTTGTGCATCACAAACAACAGATGAATTCAGATACCAGTTCATTTAAATACTGTTTGATGTTCATCTAAAGTCACGGATAGATATGGCAACCATAATTCAAAGTATTTCTGTGAACATTGTTCTGTGTGAATCATGGTTGCCATTCTGTCCATGACTTTAGATGAATCAGAATTGGGCTAAGAGTAGAATACTGTAGGACCTTTGTATCGTGGGTCATGACACAAATAGAGAACTGCTAAGTGTTGGGCTATTCTGTTCCTTGGCTTTGAAATGGTGATACAAATTGTACCTTGTGGCATGGATCAATTTAGGATAATGATTGGACCCTTATTATTGAGGTTGGCCGCTAGAAATGCATGTCCAGTAACATTATTGGCTAAGTTCACTTGCCAATAACCATGTGTATGCTATATTGCTATCATGCTATGTGCACGTTGAATCTGGACATGCTACCACCATGTTTCTCCATTTCCAGCATCCATGTTTTCATTTCTGAATGCTTTGTTTCAGGGTCTAAGGGAAAGCTTTTCGCACTGTGACTCAAACATGGAGCCGGGCCAGGTTAGTAATTTATTTTCAATGGCGTTATAATTAGCCACATCAGTATAATCACTCGTTGCCATTGCTGAGCATATATGATGTTCTAAAACTGCCACTTATACTGTGTTCCAGTGTGTTTCTTTCCACGTGAATGAAGCTGTAAAACACATGATCAACCCAGTATTCATTCTTAATCAAGCATATTGATGCTTGGCAGGTACCCATTTGCCATATCCATAATATCTGGCATGTCCTGTTTCTGAGTTAAAATATCAATTTTCAACATATACTTCAAGAAATATTTTTAGGTACATACAACATGTGCAGAGTTCAGAGTCTATAGAACCAAAAGCATCTGACCCTCAACGTCATGGCTGGACTGCAGACTTGATATTAGCAAGTGCAGCTCTGAACAACTTGAAATTCTCCAACGTTGACTCACCATGCATGTATAGTATTTTTCTTGTTACCTTATCAACCTTTCTGAATTCATAATCATGTTTTGTTTAGCAATGCTACGGCAGGTGATAGCCGGCCTGGACAGATATCGATGTCAAGGCTGTTTGGGGCATGTCTTTTGATAATGTAACATAACACCAAATCCGCTCACCCCTTCCCTGCCCTGTACTCCATCATGTTTTGCCATGTCCACGATAACAACAACAAAGCCTTTAAGTCCCAAATAAGTTAGGGTAGGCTAGAGTTGAAACCCAGCAGAAGCAATCAAGATTCAGGCACGTGAATAACTGTTTTCCAAGCACTCCTATCTAAAGCTAAGTCTTTGGGTATATTCCATCCTTTCAAGTCTCCTTTTACTGCCTCTACCTAAGTCAACTTTGGTCTTCCTCTGCCTCTCTTCACGTTACTATCCTGGCTTAGGATTTCACTACGCACCGGTGCCTCTGGAGGTCTCCGTTGGACATGTCCAAACCATCTCAACCGGTGTTGGACAAGCTTTTCTTCAATTGGTGCTACCCCTAATCTATCACGTATATCATCGTTCCGAACTCGATCCCATCTTATATGACCGCAAATCCAACGCAACATACGCATTTCCGCGACACTTATCTGTTGAACATGTCGTCTTTTCGTAGGCCAACATTCTACACCATACAACATAGCAGGTCTAATCGTCGTCCTATAAAACTTGCATTTTAGCTTCTGTGGTACTCTTTTGTCACATAGGACACCAGATGCTTGGCGCCACTTCATCCACCCTGCTTTGATTCTATGTCTAACATCTTCATCAATATCCCTGTCTCTCTGTAGCATTGATCCTAAATATCGAAAGGTATCATTCCTAGGCACTACTTGACCTTTCAAACTAATATCTTCCTCCTGCCGAGTAGTAGTGCCGAAGTCACATCTCATATACTCAGTTTTAGTTCTACTGAGTCTAAAACCTTTGGACTCCAAAGTATCCTGCCATAACTCCAGTTTCTGATTCACTCATGTCCGACTTTCATCAACTAGCACTAATCGTCCGCGAAAAGCATACACCAAGGGATGTCCCCTTGTATGTCCCTTGTGACCTCATCCATCACTAAGGCAAACAGATAAGGGCTCAAAGCTGACCCTTGATGTAGTCCTATCATAATCGGGAAGTCATCCGTGTCTCCATCACTTATTCGAACACTAGTCACAACATTGTTATACATGTCCTTAATGAGCCCGACGTACTTCGTTGGGACTTTATGTTTGTTCAAAGCCCACCACATAACATTTCTTGGTATTTTATCATAAGCCTTCTCCAAGTCAATAAAAACCATGTGTAGGTCCTTCTTCTTCTCCCTATACCGCTCCATAACTTGTCTTATTAAGAAAATGACTTCTATGGTTGACCTTCCGGGCATGAAACCAAATTGGTTCATAGAGACCCGCGTTATTGCTCTCAAACGATGCTCGATAACTCTTTTCCATAGCTTCATAGTATGGCTCATCAACTTAATTCCCCGGTAATTAGTACATCTTTGAATATCCCCTTTATTCTTGTAGATCGGTACCAATATACTTCTCCTACACTCGTCAGGCATCTTGTTCAATCGAAAAATATGGTTAAACAGCTTGGTTAGCCATACTATAGCTATGTCCCCAAGGTATCTCCACACCTCGATTGGGATATCATCCAGTCCCATCGCTTTACCTTCTTTCATCCTTTTCAACGCATCTCTGACCTCAGATTCTTGGATTCTCCGCACAAAGCGCCTATTGGTGTCATCAAAAGAGTCATCAAACTGAAAGGTTGTGTCCGTATTCTCACCATTGAATAATTTGTCAAAATACTATTGCCATAGATGTTGGATCTCATCCTCCTTCACCAAGAGATGCTCCCTTTCATCCTTAATGAACTTAACTTGGTTGAAGTCCCTTGTCTTTCTCTCACGAACCCTAGCCATCCTATAAATGGCATTCTCTCATTCATTCGTACTCAAATGTTGGTAAAGATCCTCGTACGCTCTACCCTTTGACACACTTACAGCTCGCTTTACAGTCGTCTTTGCCACCTTGTACTTCTCTATGTTGTCCACACTCCTGTCATGGTACAAGCGTCTGTAGCATTCTTTTTTCTCCTTAATAGCCCTTTGGACTTCCTCGTTCCACCACCAAGTATCTTTAGCCTGGCCTCCACTTTCTTTGGTTACTCCACACACCTCTGAGGCCACCTTCCGATTATTGGTTGCCATCTTCTCCCACATGTTGTTTATGTCCTCTTCTTCCTTTCAAGAGCCCTTTTTGATAACCCTTTCCCTAAATACCTCTGATGTCTCCCCTTTCAGTTTCCACCACTTTGTTCTTTCAATCTTAGCTTGTTTATTCCTACGGCACGCACTTGAAAACGAAAGTCTGCCACCAAAAGCTTATGTTGAGAAACGACACACTCCCCTGGTATCACCTTGCAACCCAAGCATGCTCGTTTGTCCTTTCTTCTTGCGAGGACAAAATCAATCTGGTTAGAGTGTTGTCCGCTACTGAAGGTCACTAGATGAGATTCTCTCTTTCTAAAGAAAGTGTTG